ACAGGGACTCACTCTGTTGCTCAGGCCAGAGTGCAGTGGTGAGTTCATATTGCACTGCAGCCTCAACCTCCTGGGCTCAAGTGATCCTCCCACCTCAGCCTCTCAAGTAGCTGGAGCCACAGACATGCATCCCCACACTAATTCCCTGTCTAATTGTTAGTTATTTTTTATTTTTTTTAGAGATGGAGTCTCACTGTGTTGCCCAGGCTGGTCTCAAACTCCTGGGCTCATGTGATCCTCCTGCCTTGGCCTCCCAAAGTGCTGGGATTGCAGGCCTGAGCCACCTTGCATGGCCTAAACCTGGCATTTCTAAGAGGCTCTTCCTGTGCTTCCTTTGACCACCCACAGGTTTCCATGCATCTTTCAAGACTGAGTTGGATCCTGCCTTCTCTGTAAAGTCTCCCCAGATCTTCCTGAGCCTGAAGGGACTTTTTCTTCTTTGAAACCCTGCAGCAGTTATTGTCAGCAACTGTCTTTCTGGTGACAAATCATGACCTGTTTTATGATGTCTCTTCTACTGTCTAGAACTGTTACTGAAACATTTCATTTAACTTTGCATATGTATCTTGTCCTGCTCTAACTGGGTTGGAAACTCCACAGAGCGCATGTGATGTCTTGTGTATCTTGGTGCCTGGTTTCTCTGCAGTCTGCACAATACCTTATGCAGAGGGGCTTCATACACATTTTTAATATTTCCACTTAAAAGTTATGAACCTGATTGCACTTTAATTCAGTGAGGTAGCTGAGCAGGAGCCAACCTTCTAAATTATTTTTTTCCATGCTGATTTCTTTGTGAATGGCTGGAAAAAAAATTGTCGTCTGGAATGTGAGAGAAAGAAATCTTCCTGTTAGCACCCAGGGCTAATGGGCACATTTATCTTTGAGAGAGACAGGAGATTACTATTTAAATGTCTTATTTTTAACTTCTGCGTTTCAGTTAAAGCATTCTTCTATATGGTTTTGAATTAGGGATTTGGCAATCATGGATACTCTTGGCAGAACACCCAGAGATGATGTTTCCACTGAAACCCATCTGATTAGAGGATGCCTTGACCTTTCCTGGTCTTAAATCACTGTGGAATGCTTTCTGTTGTAGGAGTTCTTTATGTTAACTTTTGTTAATGAAAACTGTTAGAAACTTCAACATGCCATTTGGTCCAGGTTTTAAATGGGCATTGTGTTCTTGAATTGCTTCCTCTGTAGGGGCGGGTGTGGTGTGCAGCCTTTTGATTTATTCTGCCTTTCCCCAGTTTCTGAATAAGAAGGCATCAGTGATGCTTGTAGCTATAAGTAACGGGCCCCTGACTCTCAGTGACTAAACAACTAGCGTATTTTTCCTCACATGATAAGTACAGTGATCAGCATTTGCTGGAGTTGGGTCAGCTGCTCCATGATGTCTGCAAAGATCTAGGCTTTTTTCTTTATTTCTATCTTTTGCTTTATGTCTTCAGGGCTGTTTTGTTCAATACCAGGCATCCCGTTCACACTGAATACAAGAAGGAGACGGATGGTCAAGTGGGATGAGGCTTCTCTGCCCTTGCCTGTCCCTTTGATCAGGAAAGCGGAAACTTTTTCAGAAGCCCAGTAAATACTCTCTTCCATGTCTTTAGCCACAGCCGGTCACAGGGCCACCCCTAGCTGCAAGGGAGGGTGACAGGGTCCTTGGCATTCCCCATTCAATAGAGAAGGCTGCAGGGGAGAAGGAGGCTAGTAACTGCTGTCATTCTTGCTGTTGGCCATAGCATACCCCTTGCTTGGAAAATTGTCTAGTGACTCTTTGCATCCTCAGTGT